TGCGTGCATGTGTGCGTATGTGTGTCTGCGTGCATGTGTGCGTGTGTGTGCGTGCGTGCATGTGTGTGGCTGCGTGCATGTGTGCGTGCATGTGTGCGTGTGTGTGCCTGCGTGCATGTGGGCGTGTGTGTGTTATTACTATATTCTCTCGAGTGCTGAACAGTTAATTATACATAAATGCGACTGGACAGCACATCCGATTACATATTATTGTTGTTATCATATATTTAGATTGTCTCTTTAGCTTTATCTTTATCTTCATCTCAGGATTCGTCGAGAGGAAGCTATGAAGATAGACCTTACTCTCAGGAGAGTCTCACTGGTCACGGCACGTCGCCCACCCGCACCGCACCGCCCCCTAGCGGCACCCAATACAGCCCCGACGGCCCTGAGCACGACTACGATGAGGTATGAGCAGAGTTATCTCTATATATATCAGTATCATCAAGAGCTAATAATACCTATTAGCTCTTNCGACATAGATATATATCAGTGTTGGTTATATCAGAGGTAACAAATTCGATCACCCATCCCTCACTCATGTTGTATCCCCCACTATGGGTATCCGTATGTATATGTATTTCCCCCGTTCTTCCCCGTTCTTCCATTGACTCCACTTTTTCCCCTTTTCTGTGATATTCCTCTTTGTCCTCCCCGCGCCCCCTCCTCTCCAGGCTTAGCTGTGAGTGTTCGTTGCAAGGCGGAATGTGTGTGTAGTGTAGCAGCTTCATTATGGCTTCAGTCATCCTATAGGATTAACCTAGATCCTACTCACCATCACCCCCCCCAGGGGCGGATCCAGGATTTTTGAAAGGGTGCATGTGTCCAGGAAGAAATAAAGGGCACTTTTTCCTGCTTAATTTTTCTGGTGTTTTAATAAGCTGCCGAAGGCACTTAGGGGGGGGGGGACCGCCCCAAGAAAATTATTTAAAATTGGTGCATTCTGAGAGCATTTGAGCAGTAATTATGTCTAGAATGCAAGATTGAATTCCAAATTTTTAGCAGAAAATTATCTTTAAATTTTGTAGGGCACTTTGAAATTAAAGGGGGGGTCAGGACCCAACGGACCCCCCTAGATCCGCCCTTGCCCCCTCCTCTTCTCCCTATCTGTCTGCGCGTTCTTTATCTCCTGCGAATCAGTGATGGTTATAGATGATAATATCATGACTTCATGACCCTCGTGGGTTAGGTCTGCAGCAGGGACACTTGTAATATTTAATATTAAACTGTAAATTGTAATATGTAACATTAAAATGTAAATCGTAATATGTAACATTAAAATGTAAATTGTAATATGTAATATGTAATAATGTATATATCTTAAACTACCTATGTGATAATCTTGAAACTTTTGTCAAAAAGTCCACAATTATATCCCTTACGTCCTGTACTATCAGTGAGTGAGTGAGTGAGTGAGCGAGTGAGTGAGCGAGTGAGTGTCCAGTCTCTGTCAATGAGAACTGTTGCCGCTAGCGTGATGTTTGTGTGTGTGCGTGTCTGTGCGTGCGTGCGTGCGTGCGTGTGTGTGTGCGTGTGTGCATGCTGCGTGTGTGCGTGTGCGTGTGTGCGTGATGTGTGTGTATGTGCGTGCGTGCGTGCGTGCGTGCGTGATGTATGTGTATGTGCGTGCGTGCGCGTGCGCGCGCGTGCGTGTGGGTGTGTGTGTGTGTGTGTGTGTGCGTGAAAAGGGGTAAGAAGTGAACCTGCGTCAGTTGCCAGTTCGTGAATCATTGCTCCACTGCGTAATTGCCGGCTGCTGATGCCGATGAATCATTTATCCAACATAATACCGCGACCTGCAAGCGCGCGCGGGTTACCCCAGAAGTGTTGTTTTTTTAATAAATAATTCGTGCAACCGCCGGGTGTCAGACACACGCATCGCAACATTGGAGGAGTGTGGGTGGGGGATTGTGGGCGGACGAGTGTGGGTGGAGGAGTGTGGGTGGAGGAGGGTGGGTGGAGGAGTGTGGGTGGAGGAGTGTGGGTGGAGGAGGGTGGGTGGAGGAGTGTGGGTGGAGGAGTGTGGGTGGAGGAGTGTGGGGTAGCAGAGTGTGGCGTGGAGGAGTTGGTGTGCGAGGAGTGTGGTGGAGGTAATGTGGGGGAGGAGTGGTGGTGGGGAGTGTGGGTGGAGAGTGTGGCGGTGGAGGAGTGTGGGTGGGAGAAGTGTGGGTGGAGGAGTTGGGTGAGGAGTTGGGTGGAGAGTGTGGGGGAGCAGGAGTGTGGGTGGAGGAGTGTGGGTGGAGAGTGATGGGGGGGCAGGGGAAGCGGTGAGGGAAGAAGCCTGATCGAAAATTAATAATGCAGTCGCGCGATCGGAGCGATCGACGTTTTGTAGGTTTTCACCTGCACAGGCGAGCAATTTCCGTCATTAGTAACAGGTGAGTGATTCATCGCTCGTGTGTCGCGGCATTCCGTATACGTACTTGCGCGTAAATCAACGTCCGTCGCGACGGTTAATGACGTTAATTGCGTCGTCGGCCGCGCGCGACGCCCCCTTGTGTGCCCCGCTGACGTCACCAGGTGTGCAATGACGGCACCAGTTGCGCGCTGACGTCACCGCTTCGTTGATTGCAGGTGTGCAATGACCTTGACGACGAGGACGACTACGACAGCGTGCCGGACGAATCCGACTCTCTGTCGCCGTCTACCGACGACAACCTCGAAAAGACGAGGGCGACGACGGCGGCGGCGATGTCGGCAGCGGCAGCGGCGCCCCCTCGCGTCAAGATCGAGCGCAAGATGTTCCCGGACTACCACGAGTCGTACCTGAGCACGAGCAACTCCGACGACGCCATCGAGAGATCAGTGATCACCGAGCAGGCGCAGGTGCACACGCGCCCGAAGACTCCGCCACCAGCACACGCCCCGTCGCCGGACGACGAACCCCCGCCGCCGCCGCCAGCGCCACGAGCAGCAGCAGCAGCAGCAGCAGCAACGCCGCCTCCCGTCGCGGCGAAACCGAACGGGTTGCTGACGAACGGGATCGCGATCCGGCGCGTCGACGGTAAGGGTGTCGTCGCGCAGCCGCCGTCGCCGCCGCTGCACCGCGTCGCCTCGTGGGAGAACGACATCTACCGGATCGCCGAGCAGGGCGTGTGCATGCCGCAGGACAAGGCTGCCGACGACACGCAGTACGACATCGAAGGTGAGGCGCGCGCGCGGTGTCGCCCCATAGCGACCGGTACGTCTGTAGGTGCGAAGAAAAAAAATGCGTTCGAGTTTCAGACATTCGAATATGCAATTCGCCTGCGTTATTGCAGGTTCGTCTGTAGCAGTAGTAGGGTGGCATGAGGCCATGTAGGGTGTAGCGATAGGTAGGGCGGTGTGTTGCCATAGCGACCGGTAGCATGGTATTTCGGCATACCTACCAGTTGGGCTGCATTTAGTGTTGTCGTAATGCCCGGTGTTGCTGTGTGGAGCCCTAGATACTAGTGTGTGGCCTTAAATACCAGTGTGTTGCCATAACAACTTGTGGAACCGTGTGTTGCCATAACGACGGCTATAGCAAAGAGCCGCTGTCCAGTGACGTCATCAGTTATTGTAAAGCGCAATACTTTTTCCTTTGCAATCCATTAAAAACGATTTCGTGTTATGTGCGCGCATACACGCGACTGCTAGCAAATCGACTGAAAATAAACCGTGTTCGAGCGATGCGAGTTAGCGAGTGAGTAGGCCGGCATGAATGAATGAGCGAGCCAACAATTTATTGCCCGCGAAATCGCAGACGAATTGCGTATTTGAATGTCTGAAATTCGAACGCATTTTTATTTTTTCGCACGCATAATCCTGCAGCGCTCCCGACGGCGATTTGAACGGATTGCGCACCGATGGCATTAGATGCCGGGTTTACTGGCGTGATATAGTACCCCTGGCATGATATAGTGCCCCCTGTCGAATATACATTCCAACATGATATAATGCCCCCTGTCGAATATATATTCCCACACGGCAGTGGTTAACGTGCGAATTTATCACCTACTCGACAAATTACGAAACAAACACATTGCTAGAATATCAAGTTTCACAGTCTCGGTTGGCAGCCTCATTCGCGTCTCCCAGGGTTAGGGTTAGGGTTAGGGTTAGGGTTAGGGTTAGGATTAGGGTTGCGGTTAGGGTTGGGGTTAGGGTTAGGGTTAGGGTTGGGGTTGGAGTTAGGGTTGGGTTGGGGTTGTCGAGCAGCAAGCTAGCGAGCGGATTTGATTTGATTTGATAACACATACGCGGGTCGTGCATCATAGCTCGCAAACATTCTACTTCTTTCTATCTACATTCTACTGCTTTCAATCTACTGCTACTAATGCTTTTGCTAAAAGAGTGTAGCAAATGTACACGATGTGGAGATTATACGTCACGACATGTACAGAAGTGTGCGATTCGACATTGTAATCCAAAGTGTTGAAATATGTATGCGCGGGCACGATCTATGAATGCGTATATATCTATAAAGATCTATATATATATGCGCGTATAAGATCTACGAATGCGTATTTACCCCTAACGATCTATAAATATCTATAAATATATCTATAAAGATCTATACATGTATGTGCGGTTAAGATCTACGAATGCGTATATATCTATAAAGCCATCTATGAATTTCTATATGCGTGGTCGGGACTCACGGTGACCTCTATCGTCTGCCAGTGTGTCAGAGGGGGGGGGGGCGTGGGTTTACACCCGCGGTGTGTGGTTTACACACTGAAGCACTAGCATCTAGAATAAGCTGGAAGCTATGAGAGGAACTCTAGCGGGATTCAAAAGGCTGCGGTGGGGGAGGGTGAAGCAGGAGCGATGATGACTTATAGGATAGGATAGATAATAGCAGGGGTTGATTATTGTTGATAAATTTTGACATTTCTTTTGACAAATCCTTTGACAATATTTTGACATAATTTTGACAATATTTTGACATAATTTTGACAATATTTTGACAATTCTTTTGACAAAATTTGACAATTTAGAAAAATTTTGATAAATTTTGACCATACCTTTAACAAATATTTGAGAATTTTGACCAATTTGTCATTATTAACCCCTGATAATGGCAGGATAGAAAGGAGAATGTATATAAAAGAAGTGTGCGAGAATGTGTTAGACTGGCGCCGACCGTCGCTAACGTACGGTTGTTGTCGCGCAGATACATCGATGCCGGTGACGGAGGAACTCTACACGGCGAAAGTCTACGAACATCTGAGCATCCCCGTGTACGCAGCGCTGCATGGGGTGAGTATGCATGATAGTGTTGATAATAATATTAATAGTTATAGTTAGTATATTATAGAGATCATGGGGTGAGTATTGGTGTTGTACAACTGTAGAGGGCGTCCATATGCAGCTGGCCTGAATAAGCATCGAAAAAAAATTAATTGAAAATACTCACAGTGTTTCGTCGCACACAGCATACACTTTATTCATCATGCTAAATAGCCACAGATTCAAGCTCTATACTCCGATCGAAACATTTGCCAGCTAAGTGATGCCCATTTATACAAAGTAGGCGGATCCCGTTTCAAACACAAAAATGGCCGACCGGTCACCATGGATACGCCACTTGACGGAATGGCACAACAACACGACAAGACCAGTGTAACTTCTAATGCATCCTATAGACGTCCATGCGGCATCTAACTTGCGCGCATAATGCAAATTAGTGCACTCTAGTGCCGAAGTTTACCGCAAGAAAATCAAAAGAAGACCTTTTCCACGGACGAAATAGTGCAACATTGGTGAACAATTTGCGGAAGGTTACTGTTATATGCCTCCTATAGAGATCATGGGGAGAGTACACTGATCTCTGATGATAATTGTTAGCATCTATATAGATCATGGGGTGAGTATGAATGATGCGCGCGGTCACAGTCACTTACGTATGTAAACACGCTCCTAATAACGCTATACCTATCAGTCATACTCCATCGTCCATCCATAATGCACCTAGAGAGGGGAGACATGTCGGGAGCATGCTGGAATGAGAGAGTTGGGGGATAGAGAGGGGGAGATGAAGGGAGAGACAGAGTATGTATATAAACACGCTCCTAATAACGCTACCTACCAATCGTACTCCATCATACATCCATAATGCACCTGGAAAGGAGAAACACGTGGAGTGAGAGAGCTGGGGAGAGAGAGAGGCGGGTAGAAAGAGAGGGGGAGGTGGAGGAAGAGACAGTGTGAGTGTGTAAACACGCTCTGACGCTACCTATCAATCATACTTCATCATCTATCCATAATGCCTATAGAGAGGGGAGAGAGGGGAGGAGCATGCTAGAGTGAGAGAGTCGGGGAGAGAGGGGGTAGAGAGAGAGAGAGAGAGAGAGAGAGAGAGAGAGAGAGAGAGAGAGAGTGAGAGAGTTGGGAAGAGAAAGAGGGGGAGAGAGGGAGGGGGAGATGGAGGGAGAGACAGAGTGAGTATGTGCGAGAGACAGAGAAATAGATATGGGTGAGAGAGAGAGAAGAGGGAGAGAGAGTGATTGTTTGTGGGAGAAAGAGAGCTAAAGAAAGGGAGAGAGGTGGAGAGAGAGAGGGAGAAGAGAGAAGGAGAGAGAGGGTGTGGAGCCGAGAGAAAGAGAGAGAGAGAGAAGAGAGAGAGGAGAGAGAAGGAGACGAGCTATGCGAGAGCGAGCGAGTGAGAGAAGAGAGAGAGAGCAGAGACAGAGGGGAGAGAGCGCGATGCGAGAGAGAGAGACGCAGAGGGCGAGAAAGAACAGAAGAAGAGTGTGATTGTAACTGCGGCGACGCGTGTGCGTAACGAAATTAATAATCCTGCTGTAGTGTGCAACTGTGTTGTGTGTGTTTTTGTGTGTGAATGTGTGTGTGTGTGTGTTGTGTGTGTTTGTGTTGTGTGTGTTTGCTATGCTTTGTTGTGTGTGTGTGCTGTGTGGTTGTGCGCTCGCGCGTGTTGGTGTATGTCTGACGTAGTGGTGGCGTGTGCTGTCGTGTGCGTGGCGTGTGCGTGTGCTCGTGCGCGTGTGCGCGTGCGCGCTGGCGGTGCGTGTCGCGGTGCGCGTGCGCGTTGCGCCGTGCTGCCGTTGTGCGTGTGCGTGTGCGTGTGCTGTGTGCGTGCGTGCGTGCGTCGCGTCGTGTGCTAACAATGAATTAATACCTGTGTGCGTGTCCGCCTGCCTATCTTGCCTGCGTGTATCACCCGCTCATGACTCACTCACTATCGATCACCACACTACATCTTCATCTCGTCGTTACAGTAGAGAATAAGTTTCAATTTATGCAAGCGTCGCGCGCACACCGTATATATAATATCGAATATATATATATATAGTATATATCAGGAGTTAATAAGACAAAATATGTGTCTTTAGTAACTCCTGATTATATCTAATATATATTCTACCCCATACACGCACGCACGCGTGAGGCGCGCGTTATCAACACGCTCCAGTGCGGCATTAAATTAGGCGTAATCGTCTGTTCGAGTGAACCGTGCAGCAGCAGAGCGTGCATGTTAAATTAGCTGGCGTCTGCTATCAACCCCCCCCCTCCTCCAGCCCGCCGCTGCTGCGCATCCATGGAGCAGGAAGCAGCAGCTGGTGATTTAGAATAATTTGAATCGCTATATAAGCTGGACATTAAGTATTGATTCAAGCGTCGAGGGTGTTGATTTAAATCAAATTGAAATGTCAAGCTGGACATTAAGCATTGATTCAACGTCGAGGGTGTGGCCGTGTTCACGTTTAAAGAATTTGTGTCCAGCTTTTCAGCAAAAAATAAGAAAATTCATTTTTCACGTTACATTATTTTAGTACGACGAGGTGCAATTATCACATAATCAAGTACCGTTCGAGTGAAATCGAGATTGCAGTGGACGTATTTGTGTGATACTGATGACATAATAGTGGGACTGACAGCATGATGACGTGTTTGGATCGTGTGTATAGTTGAACAGGTGGTCGCAGGAATCACTTATATAGACACGCGCGACGCTCTGCTGTGA